AAATCTAGTGACATGTCATAACCGAGGTACAGCAGGTTTTGTGAGAGAAGCAATTTTAAAGAAAGAACTAACTTAATACATGTTGAGAGAAGAGATGTGCTATTGTGTAAGATTTTCCTCAGGTTGAAACCAGGGGCAGCTAGTTGGAAGCTGGTTGTGTCTGTTGCAAACCCTAAGACATGATTTGATGCCAGAAAGTTTTAGCTCTTTTTCCCTCAACTGTGTCACTTGCTGTAGTACATATAGTGTAGACAAAATGACAATTCTTAATGTCTTTGATTCCACTGAGACACACTCTAGCAACTGTCAAATGCTATTGTAACTTTACAGCACTAGAATTCCATAATTCTACATACTTTGTGATTTATTCACAAGTAGAGTTTTTAAAATAAGATAAGTACTATACGGAGTTAATTTTCTGTTCTTCTAAGTGCTCAGTGTTATTTTGGATTCTGATGTTTGAGGTTTTCTTAGTTTAATTTATAGCACTAAGACCCCTGGGGGTCAGAACTGATGTGATAAGCTGATACTAAGATTCCCCAAACAGTAAGTTTGTACAGTCATATTTTTGAGGGCCTGTTTTGAGTCTCTGATTGTAGTATGTAATGTGAATGAGTAAGGTAGTGCAAATATATACATTAAAGAGAGGTGGTAACTCATCATGTGTGCACGGAGAAAGCAGTATTTGACAAATTATGTGTGTTGCAAAAGCCACATTAGTACTTCTGCTCGAAAGCTTTTCTAGTTTTCAGTATATTTTCTTTCTGATAGAGAAAGCTAGGGACTGTCTGTGATGTGTCCCATGTTATGTGGTGTGAGTCATGAAAGTGCAGATTTATCTTCTCCTTGAAGAGCAGTGATCTAGGGTTTTTTTTTCCCCATAACCTTCATCTGAGGTGGGTGAGAGAATGCAGTCAAGAAGAAAATCTATCAATAGGATATATAACAGTTATTTTGTAACACGTAAAAATAAGTAGGAGCTGATAACACAAGTGTACATTACTGTTAGGAGTTTAGAAAGGTATGTTTAATCTTGCAACTACATGTTCAACTGTGCAAACCTTTTTGACCAAATGCTGGATTTCTATTCATTTGTATGCATAAAGTGTGAACACGACCCGCGTAAGATCCTTGTCTGCTGTGAAGGCTCTGCAGGACTTCCCACGTACTGACCCTGCTGAGTCTTTCCCAAGTGGCACACAGGGGCCCTGCCTGCAGCTCGGAGACAGCCAGGACTCGAGACCAAGGGTGCAGAGTTTGGGGATGGTGAGGAAAATACGACTTTTGCAGGTAATTCACCTGCACATTCCCCCAGGTGGTAGAGGTGGGCAACAGGAGTGGATTGCGCTGAACAGCACCTTTTTTGTGTGTGAGGGATCTCGGTTGGGGTGTTCCGGCGGGAGGATCACCCACAGGAATACTGTCTCGCCTTAAAATTTCTGTGGGTTCATTTTGGCGATTTTTGTGACTGAGTTAAGTCACAAGAGAAGTGCAGCTTAGTGGGGCATTTGATTCTTCGTAATTGAAAGTTTTAGTCAGAGTTTTTAAAACAGGAGTCGATAAAGAGCTGCAGGGTCTAGTGCAGAGCAATCTCTCCTGCAGACACCTCCTTTCAGGCATTTTCGGCCTGACTTCTGCCCACCCAGTGTAACATCACTGACTACACTACACTTACTTCTGATTTACACCAGGGTGAGTATTTCAAAGACTTTGGGGGCGTTTGTGACTCCTGTTCTGTGAGTAATTTCTACCTTTTTTAATACAATGATCTGACGCCTCAGACTGTGAAGGGTTCAAAATTCAGGTACTCTTCAGCTGCAGTATCAAAGTTTCTGTTTTATCACTGGCCTCTTTGCTCGTACCAGAGATTTTATTCTGCTAGTGATTAATTTCCATGTGTTCGCATAATCAGACCCTTGTGAACTAATAAAATTCCAAGTGTGGTACTACATTGCTGGAGGCAATGAAAGCTCAACATGATGTGATTTAAAGACTCTAATATTCAAGTCAGAATACAAGACAAAGAAAAGTTGTTACTATTTTCTACTCTCAGTTTTTTGATAAAGACCCCATCTGACTGTCTTTTATTTAATGGTGATTTAATTCAAAGTGATACATGAAAGGGACATGCAGGAGTGGACCCTAAGAGATTAAAATGAAAATATTTTAGGAATATTTCATTTTTAATAGGGATGTTAAATCTTTGTGGTGTTTTTTGGACTGATTTGTTTCCAAGGGAACAACAATCTGCAGTGCTATAAACCTCTTTAATGTTAGCACGTTACAGGTAAGGAGTCCCCATTCCCTGGCAGCGTTTATAGTTTTTTATTTTTTTTCAGAAAAGGTTCTCATCCATTTTTCTTTTTCTCCTTGTTCTTCACAGTTTGGTATAATTTAATTTCCTGGCATTATTACAGTAGTTCTGACAAAGACGTATACATGGCACGTTTCTAAGCATTACTGAATTATTGACATAGCGGTAGAAAATAAAAAATACTGGTGGGATTGGAAGAGAAAGTAAGTCACAGACTGTGCTACTTCAAGATACCGTATCCTCGGGTGCCATCCTGACTGGGACAGCTCTGCCTACATGTGGTCTCAATTCTGTTTAGTTTTTGAGTAATAAACCTAAATCAAATCGGGGAGGGGAGAGAAGAACAACAGAAGAGAAAATTTGTAAGAATTTTTTCTCATTTAGCAAAACAAATCCACATAGGGGAAAAATTCCCCCTAAGAATTTAAAGCCTAGTTCCTCGAAGCTTTCCTGGGTAGTGTAAAAATATCTAGGTATTCTGCTCCGCTCACCTGTAAGATACAGCCTGCCCTCTGTGCAAGCTCTGGCATAAATTCCTGGTAGCTGTACAGGAGATCCTTTTGTGGTAAATGAACAACCCCCGCGTTGCACTTGTGGAATGTTTTCTTTCTGGGGAGCACGGGGAAGTAAGCGCGGCAGGTTGTACGTGTGACGTTTGTACATACTACGGTATCACCAACCGAGCACATAAATGGGTATGGTTTGGGGGTTTCTCTGTAAATACTGTAGAGTTTCTTGGGAAACACGGACATGTTTTTATGAAGTGCTGAACATCCATTCTTGAAAAAATCAGATCTTGCCTAAGACATGCTTTTTGTCACAGACAAAATCACTGCTCGTAAAAACTAGATCATGGGCCTCAGCTAAAATGAAAATTAACTTCATTGTGTGCTTTTTCACATCGTATTTCACAATGCTATTTGTTGAGTTAGATCTTCGGTAAAAACAACATGGAGAACGAGGGTTCATTTGTGTTTTACTTCTGGAATTTCAGTAACTATTCATGCTTGATGTTAAATTGCCAGGGTTTTATCAGACGAGGTTCGTTTCGGAAGCAACTCCATTAACTTCAGTATAATTGATAGAGTTTATTTTGACTTACGAAGTGTATTACTATTTTCTAAGCAGGTTAATAAGAAATGTGTTAAAGATGTTAAAGTGTTAAAGATGCTTCTTTTATAGTTAGAGGGAAAAAAATTAAAAATCCAAGCATGAGTTTTAACTTCTCTGTTTCTCAGAAGCACTGATCCCAAATTCTGTTAGCCTGCACATTAGATGGCAATTGGTAAGGCGTTATATTTAGATAGATTAGTTACTGTTGTATGTTGGGAGGGAGAATGTTTCCTCTGTCGGTTCTTAGACTGAAACATTAAACAATATCAGGTAGGGAGAAATACGTACATGTCATGCCCAGTTGTTTCCTATTTCACTGAACTTTTGGGGACTGTCATCAAGGTTCTCAGATGTCTACTTCAGAGCCTAGATGAAAAAGGGCTAACCTACATGGTAGTTTTGGGATCCTGTAGATTGGTTAAAGTGAGTGAAATAAGAAAAATAAGACCTCATTATCAAATCAGTAATAGCTCTGCTTCCTAATAAGAAGAACAGACATTAAAGAGGGATACCGTCTTGTTACTGACTTAGCAAGTTTTGCCGTATTTAACTGTGCTGTAAAGAGAAAACGTATTTTGCCTAGTGAAAAACAAATAGCAGCTAATAGAAATAAAAAATAAAATAATTTCTTTTAGATCAAAAAAAAATGGCTGATTGAACAAGGTGTATTAACTGTATTGAGGTTTAGTGTGCGTGAAGCAATTATAAGATCATATAGTTTTTGTTGTAGTGGCATTGAGATGTTCATATCTCATAGGTGAGCCAAAACGAACAAAAACCCCTCCTTACGCCACTCGGTCTGTTGTTGAAAAAGATACACTTCCAAAAGTACTTAATTAGTGAAACATAAAAGATAACAAAGCAGAATAGCAAGACAATTAGCTTATTGATAATATTTAAGCAGTGTTCGCTGATTATATTATTTTGAAGTTTCCCACCTGTTGAACTCAATAGAAATTACCTCCCCAAATCACTGAAGTTTAGAAAAGCTGCTTTCCCGTAAATGCATTACCAGGCAGTGGGGAGGATTGTGTGTGTGTGGAAGGCTGGGGAGATTCATGCATGTAATTCTGTAAAACAAAATCAATAAAGCTGATGACAGATTAAGTTGCTAAATTTTGTAAAACTAGACTACTGTTTGGGTCATCAACACAGCACTATTGGATTTTCTATGGTTTAATGCTGAAAAACAGGATTATTGATTTTAGGATTTTCAGCGTATCCCCTCTGGGGGTTCTTAAGCAGTCTTTATAATGCTTCACACTTAAGTTGACAACTACAGTGACATAACTGTGTCCTCGCCCTAGTAATCATTTTCTAATCATATTGGAAAAGGCTGGAAATGGTTTATAAAATGATTATTCCAGACAAATGGGGGAACAGGAGGGTTGTCGGGACGTGGCTTCTTTGTCTGGTGGTCATCGCTACCTGCCTGCCATCTTCCCTTGGAATTAACTTACAGTCACAGATTAAGACCTTTGACTGTCATAAATCTGCTTCCCAATATGTTTGACTGGCAGGGGAGTTCACAAGCCGTCCCAATATAAATAGGATTTTAGCACATCAGGTGCCGCTCCAAAGTAAAAGGGGCTGTTTTGCAGTCGACTTTGTTGGTGTATATTCATCGCTCCTCTCCCGGTCCATGTGTATGCATGCCTGCCTGTGTATGCATGTGTGTGTGTGCGTAAAGTAGAAGCTGAGATAGGGTAACAAAATGAACTACTGTATGCAAGAAATATATGAAGTGCACCCAGCTGCCGGTAGCAATTGCTACATGCAGTCCACTGATTATTGCACCTATATCGAAGAGAATCAGGGTTACAGCAGTTGTGATGCTCAGGTCCTGCACAGTAACAACATATATATGGAACAGGCCTGGGCGGTGAATCAGCCTTATACCTGTAGTTACCCTGGAAACGTGTTTAAAAGCGAGTACTCTGACATGGACATGGCCCTGAATCAGTACAACCAACCTGAATATTTCACCGAAGAAAAACCTACTTTTTCTCAAGTGCAGTCGCCATCGTACTCTCAGAAGAAAGGTAGGGGCAATTTATTTAAATAACAACGAAAAATTATCTCTGTTTTTGTTTTTTGTTTTGTGTTAAACTTACAGTTGCATCAGTTGGCTCAGATACATCTTTGAATGTGAAGGCTGCCTGTTCAAAATTGAAAGCAGCAGTAACATAGGTTGCTAGGTGATTGTAAGGTTTTTCTGTGAGCAGTGAGGATTTCCAAGCACTTTTTCTTAATTTATAAAAGACATTTGCAAATATATTGCTTGTTTTCTGCCTTCCGGGGCTATTAAGTTCATTTGCTGTTCACCGGTGAGCTAGATAAGAAAGTTTCTCTACTGAAATGTCGTCATTATATATTCTGGATCTTAAAGCTGTGTTTCTGGTTACATACAAACAATTCGTGTGAGTCCCTGTTATCAGTAAATGTGAACTCTGTTTACTCAGCAACTCGGGCAAAATATTTTGAAAATAGAACTGTAAATATGTATGGGAAAATGATTACGTTTAATAGACTCACTGTCTTCTAAGTGAAAATCTGTAGTTTCTGATTATGCAAAGCAAAAAAGACTGAAAATTCAAGGATATATCCGTGCAAGAAAGACTATTCTGCATTTTCTCCATCCAAAAAGTTGATCTAATCAATATGTTTGTGAGACATAATCAGAGTGCAATATCTGCTCCCTCAGGGTTAAATCATTGCCTGTTTTTACAATTTATTCTTTTTCTTTCAAGTAAGCAAAGCAGATTCAAAAAGAGCCCCAAATACCAACAAACACTTGGAAATGTTTTCGTTGTTATTTGTTTTGAACTCAGACAAGCAAACTGACGCATACAGAGTATAGGTTCTCTGTGTTTCTTCAAAATCGCATTATTAAAGAATAAAAATACGCAGCCTGTTGTGCCGACAGAATGTCCTTCTTTTATTAAGACCAGATTTTCTGTCTACAGTTATCCAAACCCCAGATGAATCCGATGTAACTAGGTAGATAGAGAAAACACAATTTACTACTTTCAAAGTGGCTTTGTAGTAAAAAGTAGATTGTTTCATCTAATTAACTACATGGAAAATTAGAGTATCTTCCTTCGTGCAGCCAGTATTTCTTAGCACTTGGTGCAATAAATCTGTATGTTTGGTAGAAAAATGTCTTAATTGTATACTTTGAACAGCATTGTATTTCATAATAAAGGAAATATTAAAATCCTGTTCTAGGAAGCTGTAAGCACATGATCAAATTGTAGGCTAAATGTAGTTGTGGATAATGCATGTTTTTGTATTGTGCAGCATTTTAAATGCCTTTTAAGGCTAGCTATCTTCTGTTGGGTTTTAACTAATGAATTTACAACTCTTTTTTGACTTTTCTCATGCCTTATTTTTGATTTAAAAAATAGTACTCTGGATTAACTCTAGAGAAAACAAAGACTTGCTATTGCAAATTCAGTGAAGGAATAAATTTTTCATCATTTTAAAGGTTATAAATAATAATTTATATATCTGGAATAGAGCTTTAAGTTATTTCAGTACTCAGCTGCTATCGGCTCAATTTAAAGTTTTTGTACTTGTTTGGTTGAGAAAATACAGAGTTATTTTTAAAAACTGCTTGTCTGCCCTTGTTTTCTACTACCTCAGTTTCACTAAGTAACGGCAGTGAATTTTGGTGGAAGCCGGCTCCCAAGCAGGCTTTTTAATTGATCATTCATGGAGACTGAGCAACCTGCTTTGGGATTCTTTAGAGCCTTATTACTGTGATAATCAATAAGAAGTTGCCTCCCTTCTGTCAAACCTTCGCAAATGCTGAGTTTGTTAAGCAGAAGAGATCTAAACTGTGTGGGACATGTGCATCTTCTCTATTATTTTTTTTTTAATTTCCATCTTTTAACCAAGCTATCGTAAAACTAACGAATCTTTTAATCCTGTCCTAAGAACAGAAGGCTCTACATAGGGCATGTGTGTCTCTATTGATCCAGAATTGATTTTGGGGGGAACAAGGGAGTTTGTTAGAGAAGCCTTGGTAATAACCCATTAAAGCAAAATTAAGTCCCTAAGCAGGTGTTCATGAGGAGTCTTGATTGTTGCAGTTGGTATTTTTGTTAGTCCCTGAAATTTGTAGTAATCTCAATAATATGCTGTTCAAATCAGATTGCAGTTTATAGTAGCACATGGAGTCTTTTCCAGTCACAACTTTTGCTAGTTATTAAATGGTTAAAGTCTTCTTTTCCATCTGGGAAGACAAAAGACATCAACATTTTATATGCTGAAAAAAATATCTTTTATGAAGGGGAGTTTAATCTGTTCTCTCTATGTCACTTTAAAAGAATTCAGAAAATGCTTTAAAAAACAAGAACCAAAGACGTGAACAATATGTCACTAGAGGAAAAAAACAAGTATTTAGAAAGTGTAGCCAGTTATTCTGAAATATAAGAAAGCGCTTAAGCTGCTTCAGTTATTAGAGTACATTAAAAACTATTATTTCCCGATTATGTCACAAAACTCCAGAAAATCGAGAGAGGGAGGTGTGGTTTTAGCTTTGTGTCTGCTTCTTGCTCCGTTCCCTGTTGTGCTGTAGTGAACGCTCTCAGAAGGCAGCAGCACAATCCTCGTGCAAGGGCTGGCAGTTGTGCTTGGGACGTGCTTTTGGACCTGACCCTCCCGTAGGAGACAGGCAACCGGTGACGCTTCGTTTTCTACACCCGGCTGTGAAATGGGATGAGCAGAACAGGGCTCATCGTTGTGAATTCCCACTTCTGTCCCAGAGAGCTTAAACTGGAATATTTTTCTCCTCTTAGGGCACCGCTGGCCGCGGTGAGATCTTGCAGCACCGCACACTGTGGGAGTGATGCTGGGGGAGAGCCCGTGCCACCCTGCCCTTGCGTGGGGCTCAGCAGATAGGCAAAAGTCCCCTTCCATCTCACACCGCGCGTATGGTGAGGAGGAGTTCCCAGTGCCAGGGCAGAGGTAGAGCAGCGAGGAAGGTAAAAAAGAAACACGTGTAGAGGTGTGGAAACCTCAGCATCCCCACGTTAGGTGTGTGCACAGTGTTTTGGCCATTTGGACAAGGTGGGAAATGAGTCTGCAAAGTTAGAACCGGCATGAGAGTCAGCTGCCACTTCCCTTTGCATGGGCGTTTCACAGACAAAGTTAGTGACAGATGCCCACAGGAGTCTATGAAGCTAGGCTTTAACTTCCTGCTCTGGGGGAGACCAGATGTAACCAGAGGCTGCCCCCCAAAACCAAGGGTTTGCGATCGAGAATTCTTGAGTTGTGCTTTAGGTGGCTCCTCAGCCCTGCATCTCCCCTTGCTTCCCAGATACAAGGTGAGGTTAATGCTGTCTCTTTAAGTGCTCTTCGCATGGTGGGAGAAAGGGGCTTTGAAAGTTATTGTTATTGTTATTATAATTATAATTATTATTATTTCCCTTTGTACTTTCTTAGGCAGTTGACATGCAGCTGAGAATACAAACTGTATGGCTACCTAGAGCATGCCACGCAATTAGTCCAAACTGAGTTCTCAGCGTGTGAAAACATTAGGGTATTTTCTGAATAGCTAAGAAAATACAACATGGAGATTATGGCAAAATGTCTTCTTATCAGTGCAGGGAGGATGTGTGCATATAATCAATTTACAAAAACACTGAGAATTTGTCATCTTGGCTTTTGCAGGAGAGGGTGTTGACAATTCTTTTGGGCTTTAAATTGATTAATTTTGCTCTTGACCACCCATCTAAGGAGATAGCACTGATAAGAAAAATTGTGTCCTATTCAGCAGCTCATTATGCATTTGGAATTATGTTTGTTTCTTTTTTAATAAAAATGTCAGTGGAAAAAGTGTTTTCATCTCCTTTATGTTAACCTTTCCATAACCAAATGAAGGATGGGAAAATGAACCAAGCCGTACTTTGCTTTTGCATCAGTGGTAAAACTGATGTTCAATGAGGCTTAGGTTTCTAAATAAATTACTTGTGATACTAAGCTGTGGTCTCTAAAAACATTTAAATAATTTGGGGGAAAAAATGTACATGGTCTGACTTACAGTAATGCATTTTGTACCTGTAGTTAGTAAAGGGTGCTAGTGCAGTCTGATCTCAGCAGTTTAAGTGATAACACAGCTTGGGCTAAAATGTTTTCAGTACATACGTGCAAAATGCACTGAAGGTTTCTTCTGACTCAGTCCAAAGAAGAGAGTTAATACATAGAAAAGTAATTGAGGGAAAAGAGACTATAAAAAAATGTTCAAAATTCTATCTTTGCAGAGTCTTTTTGCCAAATTTCAGTAATTCCATAAATGAAAGAGTGTTAACAAAGATCAAAATTGCAGATAAACAAGCCAGTTAACTAACAAGAAATGTGTGAATCTGTTTAGCAACATTCTTGGTGCTTCCAGGCTCAACGGAGAAATAAGCAGGTTTTCTCGGTGGCAGCAATTTAAAGAAAGCGGGAAACAAGGAATCAGTGTATCAGCCCAGCCTTTCGGATCAATACTGATAATAGCACAAACAAGAATGGAATATGCTTTTTCTAACTCAGCTCTATGCTTTCTCCTATAAACACTTTATTTAAGCTTTTTCTACACAAGTGTATCAAGGATGATAGCTGGATGGTTCTTGTAATTTTCTATAAATTGCAAAGAGTAACAGTGTGCCTATGGAATTGGTAGAACAGCACTATGAATTTTCTTTTCAGTTCTAATACAGTTGGGGATTCTCAAGGTAGTAATTAATTTCATCTTTTTCATTTTCATACTGCAGTGTCTGGTAAGTGAATACGAGCTTACTGATAAGTCCTGAACTCCTCAATTTAGTGAGTGGTCTCTAGTTACGCAAACCATACCAGATGGGGGAAAGAAAGATTTCAGGGACTATATTTAATACATGACTTTGTCAGTGTACAGTGAAAATCAAAGTACTGAATAATGGTCTTAAAACCCAAGTGTCCTTGTGCAATAGCAAAAAAAAAAAGGCTTTTTCTGCTTGCAATAGCCTATGATGGGTCAGGAACATGTTAATAAGGAACATCTGGTCTACAGCCA